GGGCCCGCCGGCGGCACTGCCTGCACTGCGGGCCCAGCGCTGCGCGGCGGCTCGGCACAGAACCACCGAAATACACGGACACGCAGCCAAGGAGGAGCACGGCACAGCTGCAAAACCCGCGTGTCTCTGCCTAGCGGAACAACCTCCCCGGCTCAGGGCTGCTTCCAGCCGCCGTTCGTCCGCGCTAGCACGGCCCTCCCTGCTACAACTCCCAGCAGCCCTTCCCAGCCACTTTCCATCTTCCCCCACGGCAGCCGCGACCCACGGGGAGCGCCAAGGACGGGGCGCCTCGCGCAGGGAAACGCGCGCGTTATAAAAGGGACGCTGCTCAGGCTAAGTTACTTTTCAGCAGGTTATGAGATGTAAATAAAGAAAACGCGAGGCAAGTCAAGGGAATTTAGAAAAGTGGGGCTGCACTAGATGGACAACAGAAGCAAAGAAAAGGCAACCTGCCCTCAGCAGCACCTGAAAAGCCCATAGATGGGCACCAATTTATGGAAGGGAAACAAAAGAGCTGCTGGAGAGAGTCCAGCGCAGGGCTACAAGGATGATCAGGGGCCTGGAACATCTGCCCTATGAGGAGAGGCTGAGGGAGCTGGGCCTGTTCAGCCTGGAGAAGAGAAGGCTGAGAGGGGACCTAATCAGTGTATATAAATACCTCAAGGGAGGGAGTGCAGAGGACGGGGATGGTCTCTTTTCAGTGATGGCCACTGATAGGACTAGAGGAAATGGCCGGAAACTGAAACATCAAAAATTCCATAGGAACTTAAGGAAAAATTTCTTAACAGTGAGGGTGACAGAGCACTGGAACAGGCTGCCCAGAGAGGTTGTGGAGTCTCCTTCTCTGGAGATCTTCAAAACCCGCTTGGATGCAGTCCTGTGCCACGTGCTCTAGGTGACCCTGCGTATGCAGGGGGGTTGGACTAGATGATCTCTAGAGGTCCCTTCCAACCCTAAGCATTCTATGATTCTATGAAAACAAGATTGAAGAACAGCTCATACACCTGGGCCAGCATCTCCAGAAAGTTTTCACCAACTTCCCTGGAATATTTTTCAGGGCAGTAGGTCAGAGCTTACTCAGAAAAGCAGGAGAACACTTGCAAATTCTGTATTTTTAATAATACAACATCATGGCATGTTAAAATGGCATAAATCATTAATTATGCACTCATAATGCTTAGCTGGAAATATTTTTTAAAAAAATCCCCTTTCAAAGACAGCAATTTTCTCAGCCACAAAAAAAGACTAAGTTTCTAAAACCTGATACTGAAGTAGAAAATACAGCTCTCTTTTTTTAAAAAAAATGCTTAAAAGGAAAGCATCTAACTTATTCATATTGCTCTTGTATAGAAAACAGTTTTTTATGTCAGACCAACCTAGCTGTTTTCCCTTTTTTCTTCCAAAAATCAGGCAGCATGGCAAAAAACATTCCTTGGAGAAATGTAAGTTCTGAGCCCCTAACTGATGCATTACCCTTTCTATAATGAGGTCTTACCCAAGCTGCTTCATTCAAAGCCCACCAACAACACCAACCAGACCAAGAAAACTTTGCCTTTTTTTTTTTTTCCTCTCTTTTTTCTTTAATAAAGCCACAGGGTTGCTTAAAAACAAGCACCAACAAAACCAGAAGAGGGGCTAGGGGGAAGACCTGGCCTGTTTGATTTCCACAAATAGCACACCACACACGTGGGGAACAAATAACCATTGGGTTATCCCTGTTTATATCACACATACAGCGATTATGATTTTAAAACCACACGCATTACCTTCAAAAACAAATCCCAGCTGAGGTGTGGTCGCCGAGTTGCTCTTAGATGACCAGGACCATTTTACAGTAACAAAACACAGCAACCAGAAAACAGCGGCCACTTATGTGGGCCTCAAGGGCAAAGCCCAGCTTTGCCCAGGGATTTCCCAGCTCCTTGGTGACCGCAGAGAAAGAGCAGGACTTACAAGAGCGGGGCTCAGCGCAAGTGCCGCTGCTCTAGTGGCACCTTTAGGCCTCTCTGCTCCCACTGGCTTCCTTCCCGCTGTGTCCTCCAAGGAGCTGAACGGACTCACTGCAAAGGCTTGAGCGAGGCCTGCTTTTCCAGAGGCACGGCCGCTCGCCCGACTTCTAATCAGCTTCCCAGCGGAAGGCCCAAAGTCCTGCTGCAACGCTCGGAGGAGCACAAGCTTCAAGATCAAACCATTTAGCTCTTCTACGAATTAAATGCATATCATTTCCTTGTTTTCATTTCACGAAATAATGAAAGATATCTTGCAAATACCCTAAAGGTATTCTAGCAGTTCGTACAGAAAACATCAGCTCATACAAGTAGAAGTAACTGTACGATCTTCTAATAGAAATGGGGGCAGCTGAGGTGTTCTATATTTCTACCTGCATCCTGTACAATCAATAAATATTTTTTTTAAAAGAAAAATAATAAGCACACAACAATTCAAGAGGATATAAGAACGAAAAAGTGCAAAACCCAGCATAACTTCAAAAAAGTAAAAAAGTACAAAAAAAGAGCAGGTTTTGAACAAGGCAGTGTACTTCTACCTATGGAGTCCCACTTCATGCACATGTCTGGAGAAGTCCTATCTACAAAACAAACTTCCTTGCTTTGAGTTCACCTGCAGCAAGCAATTTACATGGCAGGAGGGAACACTTTGCTAGTGGGTTAAATTGATAAATTTCTGCCATTCAATGGAGCTATTTCTCTCTTGGAGTGCAGTTTGGATAAAGTGTGATGGGCAGATGCTCACAGGGACAAACAAACAGATGGGGGAGAACAAAAAGGATCATTTTCAAAGGGCGTTTTTGTGGCCTAGCACACAGAACAGGTTTAATTTTGTCAACCATGGCCACGTCCTCTTCTCTGGGAACTGAACTTAACTGAAGACACCCATTTACCTGACCTAGGTACATGCAGAAATGGCCAAAGCATTGCTAAAACAACTCCCCTCCTGTGTAAACTGCAGAGCTAAAAAATAAGAACTAAAAAATAAACAAAATAATAATTTCACTGCACGCTGTGGCTAGTAACAGTAAAATCCCATCATAGTATTTCCTTCCCCCTTAACAGAAACGGCAAAACTTAGCGACGCGAGCCGTGCCTAAAGCACATTCCCAGCCGTGAGCGGGGACGCGCCACGGAACACGCTGCAGCGCCCGCGCCGCCCGTTTGCTCCTTTCCTCTCCACGACACGACACTGGGCGCCCCTGTTTTCCCTTCTCCTGGCTTGGGGGCCAGGAGCTGCCTGCGGGGCCGAGGGCCGAGGGCACCTCGCAGCGCAGCCCCGGCCAACGGCAGCGAAGAGGCTGCCGGGAAAACTGGATGCAAACGTCCCGCCGTCCGCAACGCGCCCTCCTCGCGGGCACTGGATCTTGCGGCACCGGGGGGAGCCAGGACTGCCCCATTTCCTCGCGGGTTCACCAGGTTTGACCCAGTTTCCTTACCATTACACTCATGGGAAGCAATTCCAAAAGAAATCTGCCTCTCTTCCATAGAGGTGATGCTGTTCCCCTAGGCAAGGATGCCACACACCTACCCCCTTGACCATCCGCTATATAAAACGCAAAGGAAGTGCAGGAGTTCAGCTCTTTTTTTATGAAAAAAAAAAAAAGGACTTGCACACCCACAACAGTTGTTTGGTAGTTATATGGGCTTGAAGCGGGGATTAAATATCCTACTCCAGATTCACTATCTCTCATAATGATACCATTAACCTTTCCCTTCCTTTATAAGGCGCAGGTAAAACAAGCAGAGTCACTGAGCTTGTAAGAGCTAATGTTGCAGCACCAGAAGGCGGCAGGACCAAAATACAACACATTTTAGTGCATTTTAGGTGGACTGGGCAAGCATGATATCCCTACAAGGCATCTTTAACTATATCTGTTACCCCTACACACTTGAATGGCCACAAGTATTTTCCTCCTTAGCTTCTCCCTTCTCCCACTTAATTGTATCTTAACAGTAAGTTTTCCCTTATACAGGGCGTCATTTAGAAAGAAAAAAAGGTTTTAAACACATATTCTCCCCTTTCTTGAAACAAAACGTTACAAAGCATTTACTGAATTTACATATTTTTTCCTGTTTTCTTGATTTGATATAATCAAACATTTATTAAAGAAAAACCCACAAAACTTAAATTCAGGACATTTTATTATCTCAAAACAGAAAATTGCACACAGCTGATTTTTAGCAACTGTGATAGCAGATTTATTTGGATTAAAAAAAAATCAGTCGATTACACAAGTTAAGGATACCCGGCCCTATTTTAAGGGCACACTCTCAAACTGCCACACTGTACCCTGCCTGTGATTTGTAAGCTGACAGCAACTATCTCGTGAAGGGGACTAAATTATCTAGTACTCAGGAGTCTCTAGCCCCATCTTTAAAACAACCCATTTCTTTCTTGTTGTGATTTCTATAGGGGAAAAAAAAATAGGGTCATAGATTACTGGTTGATTTTTCAATCTAATCGGATACTCGCTTTTTCACTGGAACATAAATAGATTATTAATTATCAGCTAAGGGTTTTTAGCTTTTAGTCCAGAGGCCGTTGAAGAGAAATAACCCTGAACAACACCGAAGCGTGGCCGAGCACCATCCCCTTTCCCCCCTACCCAGCCCCGTCCTGTTAATATTCCCTGTTTTTATTTGCCAACGGCTGCACAGCGGCCCTCGCTGGACAGAGCTGCTGTTCAGGACGCAGGAGCGTTCATCACCCGCAGTGGAAGTTCACGCGGATCCGAATTACTTCGGCTGCGGAACGTTAGCATGTGAAGAAGCCTTGCACCTAGTCACTCATTTTCTAGAAAGCACGACATGTTTTACACCCCATTTCTCACACCCCCCTCAATAGGCGCCTCTTTCCTTGACCCAAGGCAGGTTACGGCTGGGAGCACAATTCACCCTTTCCACAGGGTGTTTTTCACCCATGTTTTGCAGCTATCCCAGCAGAACGCAGAGACCTACCCATACTGGTGCCTTACAGTTAATTAATAGAACAGGTTTGACGCCGTATTTTCAATTAAAAGCCACCATCCCCGTGGGCGGGAAGCGCTGCCGGGAGAGCTCAGCCTCCCCTAGGACCCAGCTACCGATGCGGCCGCTCGGCCGCAGGGGCGGCCACCACCAAGCCGACACC